CATTTTGACAATATTGATTCTTCCAATCCATGAACACGGTATATTTCTCCATCTGTTTGTGTCCTCTTTGATTTCTTTCATCAGTGTTTTATAGTTTTCTATGTATAGGTCTTTTCCTCCCTGTCTTTAAAATACAATGCTCTGGGCCGCACTCACATGTTTCCACTCCCAGGGCTCAGGCCTCTGTTTCTTCCCAGCAAATCTGGTCAGGCTTTGGCCCCGTCACTGCACACCAGGCCATGGACACCCTCCACATCAACTCCAGTGCAGCACCTAGGCCATATCTCGTCCACAGGGTCACAGAGTCAGATGCGACACAGTGACTGAAGAAGACTGCATGTATGTTTCTGATAAAAGTGGAAGTGGAGCAGCCGTAGCAGCACACTCAGGTCGCCTGCATGGTAAGCAGGTGCTGTCCAGCAGTGAGGCACAGTAACACGTGCATCTGAAACAAGTCCGGGTGCCAACCACAGAGCTCTGTCCCAAACACTCTTCTGAGGTAAAACTGAAGGAAAACTCCCAGAGAAAAGTCTTAAAATCCGCAGCAGCATGTGGTTTATTATCCTCCATAGTGCATCAGACCACATTAAATTTATGGGCCACATGCAAGAGAAAAGGCCAACAGTCCTGGCCTAAAACTGCCATTAACAAACAGTCATTTGCTTTTATTGCTAAATCAGTGTCTGGGCTCCAAAGGTCAAGGACTCAAATCCACCTTCAGTCATCACACACTGATCTGAGTGAGCACTGTCATGATCCTAACTCACCTCATGGACCATCCGCCTGGAGTACACGCACTGCACCCTGTGACCCACCCTGCATGTCCCCTACCAGTGCACCAGGGAGCCACACCCTGAGGTCCCACAGTGAGCAGGGGTGGGTCTGAGCACTGGGGAGAGTTAGGGTTACGCTCTATCCCGGCCTACACCAGGCTCCCTGTCAAAGGCAGGCAGGATGGCTGAATACGCTGGGACTCCAGAGCGGGCGGGTCCAGCACTACAGAGAGCAGGCTCCCTGGCATGGCTGGGATGAACAACAGACTAGCCCCTCAACATCCTGTCCTGTCTGGGTCCTGCGAATGCCAGAGCCTCTGTCATCTCCGAGACAAAGAAAATGCCTCGCCGGCACTGGTCACACCACTCATGTCACCACTTAATCAAGATGGTTTATAGATGGTTTTGTCATCTCAGAAAGCCACAAGACCTCAGCAACACTTCCCAGTCGAGACACCTGATCCTCACCAGCTGGGGGTCGAGGTCACCTGAGGGCTGGGGACTCAACAGGTGTCAGCAGTTAGGTGGGCGGTCTGAGTCCCAATGACACCATAGCAAGAAACGTGCTGCACAACCAGACACAACTTTACCAGCTGCCATAAAGAAATAGGAAATTGGTGTCTTTAAAGCTATACAAGGATCATCACAAAACTTCACTCCGTCCAGGGGAAAGGACTAATAAGGGAGGAGCTGTCTCTCACACTAAGCGAACCGTCCACGGCAGAGGTGTCAGCGGGACAGGGTCCAGGAGCACAGGGTCCTCACACCCACCCTGCCAGGGAGGCCAAGGCCAACAGGTCTCCAGTGAGACACCCACACACCTGCATACCGGCGCCCTCTCATTCGACATAACCTCCATGCCTGTGGTACTGACGTATGAGATAGAGAACAAGACTTGTGGCTGAGATTGAGTTATCATGCCAGCACTGTCTTCAGAGAGGTGGTGATACCCTCCTGTGAGCTCACGGCCTCCATTCTCAGATCGCACATTCTCGTCAAGGCT